TAACAACAGATAGACAACAGGAAAGGATTACAGACAGACACAGAAAGACAAAGTATAACAACAGATAGACAACAGGAAAGGATTACAGACAGACACAGAAAGATGAAGTGTAACAACAGAAAGACAACAGGTAAGGATTACAGACAGACACGGAAAGACAACAAAGTGTAACAACAGATAGACAAAAGATTGCAACAATAGATGACAGAGGCTGACAACAACCAGACATTTTTTTTTCTGGGTGTAATATGATATTGGGAGAAAAATATTTAGTTCTTTCCAATGAGCATTGCTTGAGAATGAATTTAACTTTGAAGTTTCCAGAGACTTAATATAAGAACAAATATTTGATAAACCACATGACCCGAGTAGCCAAATACATGTTGTTACAGTGTATATAATTTTACCTTCAGGAAAAGTATTGGGATCCACTGGAAGTTTGTCAGACTGATTAGAACTTCCTACTGGGGAACTTCCAGGTCGGGAATCTTCTGAATGTGGCCTCTTAGAGGACGACTGGGCAACTGGTGGCATGATCTCAAAGGGTTTCTCTTGTCCACTCCTAGGCATGTTTTCTGCCTTTGACTGTTCTGATAAACGTGTCTCTAATGCAGGTGTTGTTACTGATGATGTCATATTCCTCTGATTAAGTCTGTTGAGCTTTGCAATGTAGTCTTCATCTTCTTTCTCCCCATGGTCCGTCTTCACTTGTTCAGGCTTTTTTGTTTTATCTTTCTCCTCACTTCCTGTGGAACTCTTTGTGTTCTCATTACTTCCTGTGGAACTCTTTGTGTTCTCCTCACTTCCTGTGGAACTCTTTGTGTTCTCACCACTTCCTGTTGCCCCCCATGTGGCTCCACCTGTGGTTCCATCTCCATATGTGGCCTGCATCATATGAGCTAACTGCTCAGATGGATCACTGTAAAATATAATTCAGATCATGATATCAACTTGATATAACTTTGTTGTCTAGATTTACCAGAACCATGCTAATTTATCTTATTGATAACATTATAAAATGTGTTCAGGACATGAATGCCTATTTGGCCCATTGGGTGACCCCTAATTAGCAACAGTGACCTTGGCATTGACCTTGGGACCCTGAAAGATGAACTCCACTGATCGTTAAAAGACTTATACTTTTAATTATGATATTTAATGATAGATTTCTGGTACGGGATTTCATACCTCTACACCAGACTCACTACCTGATAATGGTTATAATAAAAAGGTTTTTGATTGTAACAACACTACAGTTCATAAACCAGCTTTGAAGTTATAAAATAAATCAATATTTTCCCAGTGTTTATCCGGTTCATTTTTGAAACAGTTTAAATTATTAGCACATACTACATTTTCCAGTAGGTTATTCCACATACAATGTATTTGCAGTTCTTAGTAAAAGAAACATGTTTTTCTCTTCATAATTGTACACTGTTGGGTGTATATTTTCAAAGAATTCCCTCTGTTCCTGGATCGATTTGAAACATCATTCCATAACTTCAAACAAGAGGCCCAATGGGCCTGCATCACTCACCTGGTATTAATCTCAAACTTGTAATCTTAAAAGTGGACTAAAATACAGCTACAGGCAGAATATCAGTGTTTGATTCATAAGAACCAATTAAAATATTTAAACATATGAAGCCTGTGACCTTGAATGTTGAACAAGGACATTAAGTTGAAAGTGGGTCAAGGTCATTCATTTGAACAAACTTGGTAGTCCTTCATCTCAGCATGCTACAGGCCCAATATCAGTACCATGGGCCTTTTGGTTATTAAGAAGTGGTTTGAAGGTTTTACGACATTTGACCCCTGTGACCTTGAAAGTGGGTCAAGGTCATTTATTTGAACAAACTTAGTAGCCCTTCATCCCAGCATGCTACAGGCCCAATATCAGAACCATGGGCCTTTTGGTTATTGAGCAGAAGTTGTTTGAAGATTTTACGACATTTGACCCCTGTGACCTTGAAAGTGGGTCAAGGTCATTCATTTGAACAAACTTGTTAGCCCTTCATCCCAGCATGCTACAGGCCCAATATCAGTACCATGGGCCTTTTGGTTATTGAGCAGAAGTTGTTTGAAGATTTTAAGACATTTGACCCATGTCACCTTGAGAGTTGGTCAATGTCATTCATTTGAACAAACTTAGTAGCCCTTCATCCCAGCATGCTACAGGCCCAATATCAGAACCATGGGCCTTTTGGTTATTGAGAAGAAGTTGTTTATAAAGTAAAATATTGACGACGGATGGACGACGGATGGACGATGGATGGACGACGGACGCTGCACCACAGCATAAGCTCACCTGGCCCTTTGGGCCAGGTGAGCTAAAAACCAGTGACATCGCATTCGTTCATCATATCATATCTCCTCACTGTTTCCTGTATGACAGTGTTGGTAAATTTGGGCATTTTAGTCTATCCGGGTATATATGAATGGTTTTTCAATTCAGCGACCAACTTCGCTGCCCTTCTTTGAACTCCTCCAATTTTTTCAATACACTTTGTTTTATATGGAAACCAAATAGCACTCGCGAAATCAAGATGAGTTCTTACAAATGATTTGTATAGCAAGAGTATACAGGACCTTAGTATAAACTTTGATGAAAATTTCTTCAGAAATGAACTCAGCAGCTCGAGCCATGACAATGAATCAGAGAGGACGGGAAGGGATGTGCCACGATACGACAGGAATATCACTATATCTCCCCCTACCCCCACCCATAATAAAATGGCAGGGGCATAAAGCATAATACAAGCAATATTAACTAATACCATTTACAACCAAAACTAAATTGCATACACCTCCACATACAGATTAAGTGTACAAAGTTTTATAGAAATCGATACACAAAGATGGACAGCAAAACCTCATTTGAGCTTTCACCTCAGCTCTATCTGGTAAGTTTAAACCTGGTACTGATATTAGAGTCCAATAAATACATTATGTAGCTACATACCACAAAATGACTTCAAACTTGCCATCACAGCCATAGTTGTGGTCTTTGATCTCTTTGCTTGGCCAGCGCACCTATACAAGTATAAATTCAGACAAATCATGAAATATACCGAAACAAGACAATTGAGAAAAACTAAATCCTATTACAATTAGAGAAATTATGACAGGAGCTTGTCATTACTTAAGACCTGAGCCTGTATGCTTGAAACTTTTATCATACTCAAGCATGGATTATGTCCCCAAGCCAATTTTCTTGTAATTCACTTGAATCATGTCAAACGATAAAAAAGTCAGATAGAAACATTGACAACAGTATTTGGCTCTAGGTCTCTTCAATTTCATTCCAAATCATTGACACAATCAGTTTTAATATAGAGTTATAACCAGAACAAGAAACAACACTCCAGCACATCCATACTTGAGCATGAGAACGGTTTCATGAATACAGGCCCTGGAAAGTCATCCACATGCTGGGTATCAAACAAGTTGACATGAATGACCTAGATATGCATCGGACATGTACACAGCCAGCATGTTCCTTAACAAAGCATCAGTCTCCTCATCTCTAAGATTAGACTTAAAAGTGAAGGGTAATTAAGGATTGACCTTCATTTTGACGGCCTATACGGTAGTATGAACGCAGTTGGCAACGGACATATTCTATGGTGCGCGCTAGCGCTCCATAAAGAATATGTTCGTTTTATATTCATATTTAAAAACATGTTTAAATGCTATACTACGCAGAAAATAGTCGAAGCAGGTTACCACGAAGGTAACTGCGGTAGCCGTGGTTGCTAGGAAAATATAGTTCAAGTGAATCTTCATCGATATATGAGTAAATTTAGAAAATAGGAAGTGAACATTACTTTTTTTTCCTTTCATGGTTTTTAAATTTTAAATTAAGCAATGTGAGAAGCCCTTCAAACTTTTCTATTCATTTACAACGGTCGTCATGTACGCGCATTGACGCACCTCATGGAGTGACGCGGTCAGAATGAAGCCACCATTGTTGACATTACCGCCAAAGAAATTTGAATGTGCGTCCATAGAATAAGAAGTTTGTCAGCATTCTTTTGTTGTAATTAGACATAATGGATCCTGAATATGTTCTATGTATCTAGATGGTGAATGATCCATGCATTGGTTGTCATTGGAGTGTTATCTTGCTGAAGCGTGAACGGCTCCATATTTGAAACAAGTGTTTTTTCACTGCGTATACCCTAATTTATACGCAGTCAGAGTTTACTAAGCTGAAGAAAGGAGACATATAAATATTCAAATTTATACGAATCACACTACCGTAGCTTACTACCCCAGGGTCTGCTGTGGAAGGCTGACTATAAGTGAGGGGTGACTTTACTTACCAGTAATGTCTTGTTTGGGTAGACGTGGATTACACTTCCCATACTGCCATCTCCGCCATCAACATTTCCCTTGTCCCAGTCTGGTCCTACAAATGTTGATGACTGATATCAAATCCTGTTTATTACTGGTGTAACAGGAGGAAGAGAAATGCAATGGCCAGACTGCAGGGACCCTCTGAACGGATGCCCTAACCAATTTAGCTACCTTATCTCTTCAAGTTCCACAACATTTCTTTCTCCAGTTGTTTTGTCTTTGCCCTCGAGGACACAGCTATTTAAAACCCAGATTCGGGGATACCCTTGCCAAAGATTCAACCAGTGCTTGGAAACAAGAGTTGGCAAGTTTGCAAATTTTGTACCAGGAGAAGGAGAAAGGCAACAGCAAATCTTGAAAGTGGAAATCAAACCTGGGACCCTCTAAACTCTAACCCAATTGAGCTACCTAGTCACAGGTGACTGACCTAGTCCAGTTCCGCCACATTGGTATAACAAAATTCCTTACTTGTGTAGTATGTGAAATTATAATGTAATAGGCTAGGGAAAGTGAAAGTACTTGTCAAACTTGGCTTCAAATCAAGAAAACTGATGCTTTAATTGGCAACTATTTTCTTTCTAGTTAGTAATGATCAATGGAGTCCAGCTGATCCACAACAATTTTCCCTCCATTTTGAAATTTATCTAAGAAGACAACACAATTCACAGTCCAATTTTTGTGTATTAATTCCTCAACGTGTAAACACAGTAACCTTCAAGATAGTAATACGACAAATAAGTTGGTCTTCAATTCGCACCAATTTGTACAAGCAAGGGAACATTCAGCTTTCCAATTCCGCAACTTCTTTTATTTTTTTTACTATTTGGGCAGATTTTAAAAGACAAACCTCTTCTGACCATACATCCGACTTGAATGGATTCTCCAGACTTGAGAGTGCGGGGTTCATCAACTGGAATGATGTCATACTTTCCACCTTGACCATAACAGTAACGGTTGCTGTGTCCACTGTCCCACAACACACACAGCCAACCTAAAGGTCAAAAGGTCAAAGGTCATATATACATACCATCCTTATATACCTGCAGGTATTGTTTCGAATCACATACAAGTACAGCTGCTTTTGTGACCTGGAGTTCAAAGGTTGAATAGGATCATATATTATACAATTGTTCATCAACCTGCAGACTCGTATCGGGATTCCATTCCAGGAATCCTCACATTCCGCATTTATATTTTTCACCAAGGTGGCCAGAGTTTGATTCCCTAATCGGACATCAAAAGGTATATGGTCACCTGTCTGACCATGTGGGTTTTCTCCGGGTACTCCTTTTTCCTCTCACAATAAGAACCCCCGTGCGATACCATGCATCCAGGCCAACAAGAGTGATTGATATAAGATGAAATAACTTATTTTATAATTGTTGCAAAATAAATTCAGTTTATATAAAAAAAAAATAGTATTTTAGTACGTGTACCATTATGCACCAGATTTGCACGGAGCTAGGTTCCATTCCAGGAATCTTCACATTTTGAATTAAATTCTGTCGATGACATTTAGTAGCTTTTCAAGAATTTATCCCCCACATGAATAAATAAAATAAAATCCTTCGTTTGCATTATTTGACATCAAATCAGCAATACTTACCGTCAGATTTATGGCTAACGACTGTTCCAGCCATATATGAGTCCTGCTCATCCCAGGACCAGTCTGGCCCTCGTCTGACCCTCGACCCTAAGGGTGGCATGTCATGTTTTAATTCCCGGTGACCTTCATCATTTTCGGAGTCACTCTCAGGCTCTTTCTCAAACTCGTCTTCCTTGTTCAATATCTCTAAAATGTCCTCCTACCAGCAATGAAACAAACCAACATCTAATAGTCCTAGAGAGAACATTTTATTGGAAGCAACTTCAGTTAGAAATACAAATGGGACGTCAACACACACACGTCCTTAAATGACCTTAGCTGTTAATAGGACTTTGAAACAAAATTAAACCAAACAAATGGCCGGGGTTAGACAGATAACTAAACCTAGAAAACAAATCTTCATTAAAAGATATTATATAATAAATAAAGACAGGTGATCTGTTAAAAATTATATTTAAAATATTTCCTAATATTTTAAGAGCCTCACCCCGGACATTATAGTATATGATATATTTTTGGGAGGTATGGTATTCTAGTGGTAGGACGCTGGGCTCATGAAGGGTTGCAGGTTCGAGTCATGTCATGGCACTGTGTTGTATCTTTGAACAAGATACTTAACTCTGCTTGTTCCAGTCTACTCATGATCAGGTGTAAATGAGTATGTGGTTGGGCAGTGCTGGAATTGTTGAATGCTAGCTGTGAGTGCCGAAATGGTAGCACTGGCTGTATGCTTCCCAGGGAGTTGAGAAAGATGTTGGCCGGTTGCAAAGGCCCTATAACCATAGATAATAATTTGTGAACCCCTTTGAGACGACCTACGAACTAGGTTGTGATGAAGCTGTATAAAAGAACATAGAATTATCATTATTATCATTATTAACAGTCAAATCAAAGAAGTAGGGACCACCCAAGGGAAAGGTCTCCTTAGTGATAAATGGGTTGTTGCTATCATTACCTACCTCATCCTCATTTTTTGACAAATGGGTTGTTGCTATAGTTACCTACCTCATCCTCTTTTGTGATAAATGGGTCATTTCTAGCCACATTTTCTAAGATGTGTTTGTTGGCATTTTCGTCTTTAAGATGACCACCTGTTGCTTTCTTTATGATTGGAATCAGCCTCGCAGCAAAAGGCTGTATACAAATGATGAAATAAGGAGTTTTATAATGTTATTTACATTGCAGCAAGATGATTCATGACTACTACCTGGTTATAACTAAAAAACAGTTTAATAAATGGCATATTACATACATATATATTAAATTTCATATAATTTGATATCTTACATCAACTAATTAAAGATAAACCAGAATGTTGTCAGTAATACAATGTAAAAGCTTCAGTAGGCCTCTAGGGTGCAACAAGATATGTACAGACAGGAACCTGATTCAAGAAAACCTTAATACTTCGCCAAGGATTTACTGGGAGGGCTGAGGATACTCAAGGAATTCAAACCTCCTTCCATTTCACCAACTCACACCATTATAATGCACTAAAAATAACTCACTCCCAAACCCCTTCAAACATATAACTCTTTCCCTTAATTATAATAAGAAAGCGTTACTGAGTTTCATTGTTCCCATATGACTTCTCCATCCCCTTCCCCACCCCCATATATATTTCTATCCTCCTTATCCACACACACAGTGCCTAATTTACTTACGAAGTTTTTACTGTGTCTGATGGCCCTGTCTAACTGCTCCATCGGATACATCTTCCCACCTGTCATCTCTGCTATCTGCTCCATGTACCTCTGTAAGTGAAGAAGTTTGTCTGTGAAGTGGATGCCAGTACGTTTTTTTTCCCATCTATTTGTTAAGTGTACAAAAAGTTCCAATTCCTCTATGAAGTACCTAGTATATGTTAGTCATCCATGTGTAGCGGAACTTAACTGGGTCGACTGTTGGTGACCAGGTGGCTCAATTGGTAGAGCGTCTGTCTAGAGTTCGGAGGGTCCCGGGTTCGAACCCCGGTCCGGTCGTGCATTTTTCCACATGCTGTTATACACATAGAAACAATAAACAACCTGGCCCCTATTTGACAGACTCATTATGATAAAAATATATTTATGAAAACAGAAGATTAATGATACTGTCAATATCAATTCTAGTACTTCTCAATTCACTGAAGCTCTTAACACATTATACTCACGGAGTAAAAATTTCCAATTGGTACATAGGACACGGACAATTTCCTTTTCCTAATGTCCTCGGCCACACCCATCATATTGGCATTCACCTGCAAGAAGTCAACATCTTCAATTCAACTTAAAAATTTTGAAAGCTAAAGAATAGTGTACTTATAAAATTTTCTTAAGCCATGGCCAGTCTTCTGCTATTTCTATCATGAAAGAAAATTAAATGCCAAATGGGACTTGCACTGTTCATCTGTCATTTTGTTATCTTAACCTCTATCCCTAGGGGATCTTCGCTCTTCATTTAAACAAATGTTGAACCCCAGGTCCCAAAGATGAAGTGCTTTGAATCAAATTTGGTTTAGATCTGTACATTGTTATAGGGTAGGAATCTCAATGATTTCAATTTTATGACACGTGGAGCCAGACCCCTGGGCTAATTCTGTCAGCACTAACCCTCTGACCCAAGGGGACTACAACCTCAACACAACCTCAATTTAAACAATGTTGTACATGTATATAAATATGTCTGATTTTAATTTGACTGTAAACCAGCTTAATAAGTCCCCCTCCGGTTCCTAGGGGTGGGGGTGGGGTGGGGTGGGGGATGGGGGTCCATCCTTTTATCAGTCCGTCCTTACATCCGAGAAAAATGTCCGGGATATATCTTTAATATTATTTCACCTGGAGTAACCAGATTTGGTGTACAAGGACATCTTGGGATGGCGGAGTGCAAGAAGTAGGACACATATGACCTCCCTGTGACCTATGCTTCCTGACATAAGTGTACTGTATGTTAAATATAGAAATCATTACTGGTGGGGACTAGTACTATGGATTGCCTTGCAATACTTTGCCTTGTTTATTGAAGTTTGACCTGTAACTTGGAACAATGACAATACCTCATAAGAAAAGTCCCCATCAAGAGGAACATCCTCCCCAATAAGTCTTGACTCAAGTGTAGCACGGCCGTCAGTGAAGATGATGATTCGGGGCTGGTGAACATACCCAGCAGTTACTCCAAGTACTACACAAAACAATATTCAAAAGATCTGTATAGTTAAACATAGGCTAAAAATACAGTCAAGAGGTCCAAAGGACTTGTATAGCCAATATATGTTATTCGATAGAAGAGGTCCAACGGGCTTGTAAAATAAAGCATATGTTATTCAATAGAAGAGGTTCAAAGGTCTTGTTTAATCAATATAGGTTCTTCAAAACAATTAGTTCAAAGGGCTTGTATAATCCATATATGTTATCCAAGAAAAGAGGTTCAAAGGGCTTGTATATTCAAGAAAAGAGGTTCAAAGGACATGTTTAGTCAATATAGCTTATTCAAATGAAGAGGTACAAAGGGCTTATATAGTCAATATATGTTATCCAAGGAAAGAGGTTCAAAGGGCTTGTAAAATCAATATAGGTTATTCAAGTGATAGTGTTATAGCAATAGGATTATATATAAGAGCATTGTAGTAAATGTGTAGCCATGCCTACTCACTGGGACTGACAGTGGCAGCTGTACACATAAGGAGACCAGCAGCTAGTGGACTGGTGCCCCCGGTGGTCAGGTTCCCTGAGAGAGGAAGCAACAGAATTAGTTATTTTATTATATAGGATCTTACATGAGTTTCCATTTCATATGAGATTTATGAAACGAGTCTAAGAATTTTTCAATTTATCGAGCCTCTGGCGAGCTAAAATGAAAAATTTGTGACAAGTTTCATTAATTTCATATGAAATGAAAACAAGTGTAATATCCTTTTTATTACATAATCAAGATTTGTGGCATTTATTCGTGTAAAACGACAATTTTCATGCAACCTTGAAATGTACAAAGTCACCATTTTGACTCCAGTGCATAAATCTATGTCGTCATGTACTTGTCCTAGCGTGACGTCACAATTGAAACAATTAAAACTTACAACCAATCACAGGGCTGATAGGTCATATTACATGGGTATATTCACTGGATAACATAATACATTATGTGATAAACAGAAACCTCCCCTCAACTTCTGTTTAGAAATAAATACAGCACAGTGAGGGTAGGATACGGTCTTTAATCAGATTACTCGAGCTGTTAGAGTGATGGTTAATGAACCTGAAGTTCAGGGTTCAAACCTGTGAATTTTTACACTCAGAACTCTGTTCTTGATTTATGATTTGTTTATTTCATCTTTATTATTTCTGATGAAAGTCTCACATGGTAAAGGTGATTTTTTAATATGATTTAACAAGGCTTAGTCATGCCGGAAAAAAAACCCAGTATAGTTACAGTTTTTGACAGTGGTAAGGGTATTCCTTCGATCATACCAACATATTGAGATTAATGTTTATGATGATATTTTTAATCATATCATACACTGTATCATTATTATAATTGCTTTCTTAATAGCCAATTAACACAGTAAAGTCAAAAGGCCAAAAAAAGGTTGATAAACCATGTTAAAGGATTTGACATGAAACAACTAGGATCGTAAAAGACAAATGTCAACTTGACATGTACCTTTCATGGTACACACAAGTATGAAATATGGAATCGTAAAGTTCTTGTAATAAGTCATTATTTTTTCAATACTTCCACTAGGAATCAAACCCATGACCCCTGGTTTACTAGTCTTATGTTTTACCAAATTTAAAAAGATAAATTCTTCCCAGCCGAGTCGGTAGGAGTGGCTAATATTTTGTACCAGTTTGAGTCGGTAGGAGTGGCTAGTATTTTGTACCTGTTTGAGTCGGTAGGAGTGGCTAGTATTTTGTACCAGTTTGAGTTGGTAGGAGTGACTAGTATTTTGTACCAGTTTGAGTCGGTAGGAGTGGCTAGTATTTTGTACCAGTTTGAGTCGGTAGGAGTGGCTAATATTTTGTACCAGTTTGAGTCGGTAGGAGTGGCTAATATTTTGTACCAGTTTCTGAATATTCCAGTAGTCATATCGATCCTCATGAAAGTATCGATCAGTATTTTCCGTCAATATTGCCCGTGTCCCTACGTGGGTGCCAATGTCATAGAGGAAAATTACTTTTTTCAATGCCTCCGCTAGGAGTCGAACCTGGGACCTCTGGTGTACTAGTCTCAAGCCCTACCTAATGAGCTAAAGAGAGATTCTTCCAAGCTGAGTTGGTAGGAAGCGCCTAGTATTTTGTGCAGTTATTGGATCGAACAACGTTACACAAAGTGCGGTGCGATGATGATTTCATTTTTTACATTTCGTAACATAGATTAACCAATCTTACCATATCACACCTATGTGTGCGTTTTATCACGCAACGAGGCGATCAACGATTAAATCGTACAGTTGTGCGCACTATGTGTGGGTGACCTGCGCACAATTGAAGCCTCACCGTGTGCGCAAAGTCATTTTGGTTCATTGTGCTATCACACTACAGATGTATACGGGTGACATATTCTTAGACTCTGAAAAGATCTGTCTGATATAATGGCTATGTGGTTTCTAATTCAATTAATTTCTAATACTTTTCTTCAGGTTGGTAAATATCTATTGTATATAGGTTCGCATAGCACAATCAGTAAAATGTTTGTGTGTGACATACAATTCATATAGCACAACCAGTGAAATGTTCGTGTTTGATATACGGTTCATATAGCACAACCAGTGAAATGTTTGTGTGTGACATAAGGTTCACATAGCACAACCAGTGAAATGTTTGTGTGTGACATGAGGTTCATATAGCACATGTACAATCAGTGAAATGTGTTTGTGTGATGTTTTGAATGATATTGTACTCTGTCACCTTCGATTCATCAGACAAATTTAATACATTATTTCTAATCAAGCAAAGGAATAGAAAAATGTAATATTAAATTCTGCTAGTTGTCATATTCAATCACTTACTTATAAAAAAAGAAAAAATGAAGATAAAAGATGCGAATAACATTTAAACTACATTTTGTAAGATTACAGATGCAAGTTATATTTCAATTTGAGAAAAATATTGAGTCACAATACTCCTACATAAATACTGACAAACTCAGAGAACTGAAAGTCTAGGCTACTTACTGACTGCTTCACGGAGAATTGATAACTCGTTAGTAAGGTGCTGAAGTACTGCTGTCTGGTGACCAAACGTCACGATCGCAAGATTTATATGCAGTCCCAAAGACATGCGCATGTTCTCCACTCCTGTGAACCAATCATGAATCAGATAAAATAAAGCAACCAATTGTTTTCCGGATATATAAAGCATAAGATTATATTATAAGTGTATTGATAGATGAGGCTAGCACCTGTGACTGAGGTAGATACAAAAGAACATATCATTGTACTGCAACATCGTGAAATAGATATAATAAGCATATGTTTGTATGGTGAAATTAAAAACAAGAGGCCCAAGGGCCTTAGCGGTCACCTGAGTTATATCATAGGTACTGGTAGCTTTATTTTATTGTTTAGATGTGATGTGGAAATCAGCATGTAAACTAAGTGAAATACAATACTTGTCATGTCATCAAAGGATAAGAATTTGAAAATATTTGTAAATGTTCCCTTTGGGGCCCCGCTCTAACCCCTGGGGATGGGGCAGGAATTCCAAGTTTACAATGTGATACCGTCATCCACCAAAGATGATTCTGACCAAGTAAAAATAATTTCCAACAGAAAATTGTCAAAATATACCCAAAAGTGTTGTTTCCCTATATAAACTATAGTAAACTTTACCCCCTCCCCAAGGGAGAACGGATAGCTCGGGGGTCCTGAAATTTACAATTTAAATAAAGCCCCTGATGATCTTTCCATCCATGCAGAGAAAATGACTGTAATACCTCTGAGTCTGGAGAAGAAGATTTTTGAAATATTGGTTAATTTTCCCTTTTGGGCCCCGCCTTGGCCCCTAGGGTTGGGGTAGGAATCCCAATTTTACAATTTGGTAGCCTCATCTACCAAGGATGATTCTGACCAAGTTTGAACAAATTCCATCCACTGGTTCTTGAGAAGAAGTTGATGATGTAAAAAGTTTACGCACGACGCACGACGGACGACGGACGGACGGACGGACGGAAAGTGATTGGAATAGGTCACTTGAGCAAAGCTCAGGTGACCTAAAAATGGAGCATGTTGGTTTGTATTATCAGGCTAAAGTAACCTTCCTTCGCTTAGAATACTATTTTAACATTTTCATTCTCACCTTCATTATATATTGCAATATTATACCCAGACATATGTTATTATAAATATTTCCAAGTAATCTTCATTCAGATGGGGAAATATTAATCACAGAAAATTTAATGTAGGAAGGCGATCTACAGGAATACTAACCATCAATATATCTGAGTACACCTTGGACCATATTGAGGAAGGGTGGTCCCTCCATACTCTGGGAGATGTCGAGACACAGAACAACATTTGGGCCACGCCCCCTGGGACTTGCTGACTCGGCAGCTGAAGAAGAATAAACAGCTCTTATAGTCAAGGTAAGAATAAACCAATAACAAAGAGTGAGTTAGCACAAGATTTTAGAAACATCCAATTACAAAAGGAGACAGAACCAGATTATGAGAAGTTCTTTTTACACAACCAATAAGATTTTCTATGTGACGTTTTGATGACTAGTATGATATGTACACTGTCACCTTCATCAGACAAAAGACCAGTGAAGTGTATGCACACAAAGGTGTAAAATGTGTACAAGTTGTCCACAAAATTGAGTCAATTCGGCTACGCTGTAACTGTATGTAAAAAAGTTGTTATATATGTACTGAAATGACTCGATTTGGCTATATACGCTTTGTTTAATACTTGGTCATAGATGTGCGAGAGTCTTTCAGCCCCCTCATCCCGATTTAGAACTGGTCCACTGCGGCGTATCCAGATGGCGTCCTTTATCTGCCACTTGAACTGATTGCTCTCTCTGTCCAAAACTTTGGAGTTATCCCAGTCAATCACATGATTTTTCTGTGTCGCATGGTCTGTGATTCCCGATTTATTTATCTGGGACTCCAACTGCTTCCTTTCTGATCTGGTGAATTTCCTACCTGGTTCGGTTTCCGTATTTTTCCGGTGTTCACCATGGCCTACCCCAAATCGCCTTCTAGTCTCTCCAATATACGATGCGTTGCAGTTTTTGCATCCAATTTTGTATACGTATTCTGGGACATTCTCTTTAGGTGTTTTTTCCTTAGGGTGTACTAGGATATTGCGAAGCGTCTTGTGGGGCTCCATGGCTGTTGCTATGCCATGACCGCGACATATCCTCCTGATGGTTTCGGATATACCCTTTATGTACGGGATGACGACTTGACCTTTGCTTTTGTTCTTATCCTTCATTGGCCTTTTCTTGTTCTTTTCCTTACTTTGACACTGTTTTGTTCCCGTTTTAGGGCCCATTCCAGATATGCACATGTTCTCATTGCCCTAGCGATGTGATTCTGCTTTTGTGTTTTGTCCTGTGACTATTGTATCACATCTGTTGAGCAATGTGCGTACGACGCCTACCTTCTGGTGCAAAGGATAGTGAGATTTGAAGTTCAGGTATTGGTTCGTATGGGTTGGTCTGCAGCTGTTCATATGTCTTGTTGTCCTGTAGCATTGTAATGACCTTTAAAATCTTATTGGTTGTGTAAAAAGAACTCATAATCCATACTTACCAACCTGAAGAAAATGTTTAGAAAGAGACAGAACCAGGTTTTAAAATAGTCCAATCACAAGACATTAAATAATCTATTTTTAATGAATTGAAATATTATACAACCAATGTTGTATAAGGTCTCTCATGTAATTTCCAGCACATATTAAACCTGAAATTCTCTAGAGTTATCTTCATCACTTATTAGAATATATTTCTCTGAATGTATTTTAAATCTTTCCAAATTTTACTCCTCATAACAAACATAACTGTTTTAGACAGATACATGTATACAGCCATGAAAATTACAAATTTTCAAAAACATATTCAATATTTCCATGATGAAAACAGTTTTTATTCAATCCCTGAATATTTAAGTATCGTGTGTGATCTTATGTAATGATGAAATTCCATTTCTTACAAAAAATACTAAATTATAAGACCTGTAGGTTTTGACATCCTGTCTAATATGACCTGTATCTGATAGCTCACTGCAGGGTGTCGGATTAGACAGGGTTCATTGTAACTTCATTGGAATCTTGTGTGTGTTTGTTTACCTTTGACAATTTCCATGTTGGCCTCCTGAATCCAGCTATTTAGGTCCATATCATAGGGCCTGGGAACACTGCTTGTTTCTTTTGTCATGTCTACCAATGAATACATTAAAAATTGTTTTAAATTAAAGGGATATTTCACCTGACTGAGATATGAATCTGCTTTCCATGAGAGCTCTAGCCACTAAGAAACCTAAAACATATCTAAGACATAACATATGCTTCACACAAACAGTTCTATAATGCGACAAGTTTTCAAAACAAAAAAAGATTTGCACTGCTGGTCTTCATAACATAAGTATCATAACTAGTCCAAATGGTTCTTAGGATATTGTTGTTTGAAGTTTTAAACATATTTGACCCCTGTGAACTTAAAAGTAGGTCAAGCTCATTTTCATTCACAAACTTTGTTGTATGCCCTCATAGGATGGTACTGGCCAAATTGAATGACCCTAGGCCTTTCAGATCTTCAGTGATCTTGAAAGTGGGTCAAGCTCATTTTCATTTGCAAACTTCGTCAAGCTCCATCATAGGATGCTACTGGCCAAATATCATGACACTAGGCCTTTCAGATCTTTGGAAGAAGTCGTTTGAAGGTTTAGACCTATTTGACCCCTGTGACCTTCAAAGTAGGTCAATGTCATTTTCGTTTGCAAACTTTGTCAGGCTCTTAAGAATGAAGCTTTCAGCTAAATATCATGACTTTAGGCCTGTACTTTATTCAGAAGAAGTCGTTTGATGTGTTTGACATATTTGACCCATATGACCTTGAAAGTAGGTCAATGTCATTTTCATTTGCAAACTTTGTCGGGCTCTTTCCAAGGCAGCTACTAGCCAAATTTGAAGACTCTATACCTTTAAGTTCTTCAGAAGATGCTTGAAGCATTTGACTCCTGTGACCTTGAACGAAGGTCAAGGTCATTTTCATTTGCAAACTTTGTCGGGCTTTTCCAAGGAAGATACCAGCCAAATTTGAAGATTCTGTACCTTTCAGTTCTTCAGAAGAAGTTGTTGAAAGGAAAAGTTGATTGACAACAGACGCCGGACGGACGACGGACACCGCGCCATGACATAAGCTCACTAGCCCTTCGGGCAGGTGAGCTAAAAATGGATTTGGTAAATTATGTCAAGGTTATGTAAGGAACAGACACAGTGGGGTAGAAAATCTTACCTGTGACATATGTCAAGGTTGTTCAAGGAACCTAGGAAGGGAGGTATGTGTCTTTGCTGTGTCTATTGTCAAGGTTGTATCAGAAAACTAGGGTAGACAACTCATCTTTCACTTCAGTTAAAGTTGTATAAAGAATAACTTACCTGTGACTTCCCTCAAAGTGTTCCTGAATTCGTTTTGGATTGGAACTTGTTTCCCTGATGTTTTCCTAGGTTTTGGTTCTCTGGTTCTAAAACAAGCAGATCATTACTCGTATTACCTGTATTTAACTTTGATACAATAGCCAGTAGATAGTCCTACGATATACTGTATAGCAGGAAATTTCTGCGGGATGTTATTTTTGTGATATCGTGGGTCAATAAAGTGAACATGAAAACATGATCAGCTGAAAAATATGACGAAGTGTAAAAAATTGAGCCGCGATAATAAACTTCATAATCATAATGTCGTCCAGAATAGCGGTAATATGGTTATAATGATCCACATACATCAGGAGCAGTAATACAATGTACAATTATGTTTAAGCCCGCGTAAATAATCTGTTATACAGTATATTGATAAAGTAAAAGATTCAGACTTCAATGAATAAAATGTTTTAATACACTCTGATCTGCTAGAGGTACATTCTGATTAGAATTTGTATATATAGTCTTTCTTTGGTAGAGACTACTCTGGTATCGGTACATGGATTAATCCTGAAGTCCTACTTTGGTATCGGTACATTGATTAACTCATAAGTCTTACTTTGGTATTGGTACATTGATTAATCCTTATGTCTTACTGTGGTATTGGTACATGGATTAACTCACAAGTCTTACTTTGGTATTGGTACATTGATTCACTCATAAGTCTTACTTTGGTATTGGTACATTGATTCACTCATAAGTCTTACTTTGGTATTGGTACATGGATTAACTCATAAGTCTTACTTTGGTATTGGTACATTGATTAATCCTTATGTCTTACTTTGGTATTGGTACATGGATTAACTCACAAGTCCTACTTTGGTATTGGTACATGGATTAACTCATAAGTCTTACTTTGGTATCGGTACATCGATTAACTCACAAGTCTTACTTTGGTATTTATATTGGTACATGGATTAACTCATAAGTCTTACTTTGGTATTGGTACATTGATTCACTCATAAGTCCTACTTTGGTATTGGTACATTGATTCACTCATAAGTCTTACTTTGGTATTGGTACATTGATTAACTCATAAGTCTTACTTTGGTATTGGTACATTGATTAACTCATAAGTCTTACTTTGGTATTGGTACATTGATTAACTCATAAGTCTTACTTTGGTATTGGTACATTGATTAACTCATAAGTCTTACTTTGGTATTGGTACATTGATTAACTCATAAGTCTTACTTTGGTATTGGTACATTGATTAACTCATAAGTCTTACTTTGGTATTGGTACATTGATTAACTCATAAGTCTTACTTTGGTATTGGTACATTGATTAACTCATAAGTCTTACTTTGGTATTGGTACATTGATTAACTCATAAGTCTTACTTTGGTATTGGTACATTGATTAACTCATAAGTCTTACTTTGGTATTGGTACATTGATTAACTCATAAGTCTTACTTTGGTATTGGTACATTGATTAACTCATAAGTCTTACTTTGGTATTGGTACATTAGCTTCACTTTTCTTTGTCTCATCTGCATCCTTTCTTCGTTGGTCTGCCTTATCCTTTCCAACATTATGTGACCTTTGACTGTTTTGATGTTTTGGCCCAGTATTTGAGGAATCTGCAGCAGATTTTTTTGAACTCCCTGTCATCGTTGTTTTAGTTCTTTCCCTCATGGCTCTCCTTAACACTTTCGATGATGGTGGCTCTGAACAGTCGGCCCGATTGTCAGTTCCGGTTGTGGCCTTGGTGCCACGGTAACCGACCTGCTGCTTGATAGGAATGACTGCCTTTACTTGGTCAGTCAGGGGTTTGGGCAATTTATATTTTTGTTCAGAGTCCTGAATGAAAAAAATATAGGATTAAAAACACTTTACAAATATAACCTAGATAGATATTGAAACATGTATCAAGTCTACGGTAATCATCAACACATGTTTTTAAGTTAACCACAAACATGGACACATGTATCTAATATACCACAAACATGGATACATGTATCTAATATACCACAAACATGGATACATGTATCTAATATACCCCAAACATGGATACATGTATCAAGTCTACCCCAAACATGGATACATGTATCTAATATACCACAAACATGGACACATGTATCAAGTCTACCACAAACATGGATACATGAATCTAATATACCACAAACATGGATACATGTATCCAGTCTATCACAAACATGGACACATGTATCCAGTCTATCACAAACATGGATACATGTATCTAGTCTACCTCAAACATGGATACATGTATCTAGTCTACCTCAAACATGGATACATGTATCTAGTCTACCTCAAACATGGATACATGTGTCTAGTCTACCTCAAACATGGATACATGTGTCAAGTCTATCACAAACATGGATACATGTATCTAGTCTACCTCAAACATGGATACATGTGTCTAGTCTACCTCAAACATGGATACATGTGTCAAGTCTATCACAAACATGGATACATGTATCTAGTCTACCTCAAACATGGATACATGTGTCTAGTCTACCTCAAACATGGATACATGTGTCAAGTCTATCACAAACATGGATACATGTATCTAGTCTACCTCAAACATGGATACATGTGTCTAGTCTACCTCAAACATGGATACATGTGTCAAGTCTATCACAAACATGGATACATGTATCTAGTCTACCTCAAACATGGATACATGTGTCTAGTCTACCTCAAACATGGATACATGTGTCAAGTCTATCACAAACATGGATACATGTATCTAGTCTACCTCAAACATGGATACATGTGTCTAGTCTACCTCAAACATGGATACATGTGTCAAGTCTATCACAAACATGGATACATGTATCTAGTCTACCTCAAACATGGATACATGTGTCTAGTCTACCTCAAACATGGATACATGTGTCAAGTCTATCACAAACATGGATACATGTATCTAGTCTACCTCAAACATGGATACATGTGTCTAGTCTACCTCAAACATGGATACATGTGTCAAGTCTATCACAAACATGGATACATGTATCTAGTCTACCTCAAACATGGATACATGTGTCTAGTCTACCTCAAACATGGATACATGTGTCAAGTCTATCACAAACATGGATACATGTATCTAGTCTACCTCAAACATGGATACATGTGTCTAGTCTACCTCAAACATGGATACATGTGTCAAGTCTATCACAAACATGGATACATGTATCTAGTCTACCTCAAACATGGATACATGTGTCTAGTCTACCTCAAACATGGATACATGTGTCAAGTCTATCACAAACATGGATACATGTATCTAGTCTACCTCAAACATGGATACATGTGTCTAGTCTACCTCAAACATGGATACATGTGTCAAGTCTATCACAAACATGGATACATGTATCTAGTCTACCTCAAACATGGATACATGTGTCTAGTCTACCTCAAACATGGATACATGTGTCAAGTCTATCACAAACATGGATACATGTATCTAGTCTACCTCAAACATGGATACATGTGTCTAGTCTACCTCAAACATGGATACATGTGTCAAGTCTATCACAAACATGGATACATGTATCTAGTCTACCTCAAACATGGATACATGTGTCTAGTCTACCTCAAACATGGATACATGTGTCAAGTCTATCACAAACATGGATACATGTATCTAGTCTACCTCAAACATGGATACATGTGTCTAGTCTACCTCAAACATGGATACATGTGTCAAGTCTATCACAAACATGGATACATGTATCTAGTCTACCTCAAACATGGATACATGTGTCAAGTCTACCCCAAACATGGATACATGTGTCTAGTCTACCTCAAACATGGATATGTGTAGCTAGTCTACCTCAAACATGGACACATGTATAGTAGCCTAACACAAACATGGATACATGTATCTAGTCTACCTCAAACATGGATACATGTGTCTAGTCTACCTCAAACATGGATACATGTGTCAAGTCTACCACAAACATTGATACATGTATCCAGTCTACCTCAAACATGGATACATGTATCTAGTCTACCTCAAATATGGATACATGTGTCAAGTCTATCACAAAGATGGATACATGTATCTAGTCTGCCTCAAACATGGACACATGAATAGTAGCCTAACACAAACATGGATACATATATCAAGTCTACCTCAAACATGGCCACATTTATCCAGTCTGTCACAAACATTTACACATGTTTCCAGTCTATCACAAACATGGACACATGCATCCAGTCTAACATGTATCTAGTCTACCACAAACATGGATACATATATCAAGTCTACCTCAAACATGGAGACATGTGTCAAGTCTACCACAAACATGGATACATGTGTCTAGTCTACCTCAAACATGGACACATGTATCCAGTCTATCACAACCATGTACACATGTATCCAGCCTACGGCAAAGATGGACACATATATCTTGTCTACCACAAACATGGACACATGCATCCAGTCTAACATGTATCTAGTCTACCACAAACATGGACACATGTATCTAGTCTACCTCAAACATGGATACATGTATCTAGTCTACCTCAAACCTGGACACATGTATCCAGTCTATCACAACCATGTACACATGTATCCAGCCTACGGCAAAGATGGACACATGTCTCCAGCCTATCAAAAACATGGACACATGTATCCTGTCTACCACAAACATGGACACATGTATCCAGTCTACCACAAACATGGACACATGATTCACTTTTGATGACGTCACAATTACATGTATCCAGTCTATGGCAAACATGGACACATGTATCCTGTCTACCACAAACATGGACACATGTATCCAGTCTACCACAAACATGGACACATGTATCCTGTCTTCCCCAAACATGGACACATGTATCCAGTCTACGGCAAACATGGACACATGTATCCTGTCTACCACAAACATGGACACATGTATCCAGTCTACCACAAACATGGACACATGTATCCTGTCTTCCCCAAACATGGACACATGTATCCAGTCTACGGCAAACATGGACACATGTATCTAGTCTGTCACAAACATGGACACATGTATCCAGCCTACGGCAAACATGAACACATGTATCCAGTCTATCACAAACATGGACACATGTATCCAGTCTACGGCAAACATGGACACATGTATCCTGTCTACCACAAACATGGACACATGTATCCTGTCTTCCCCAAACATGGACACATGTATCCAGTCTACGGCAAACATGGACACATGTATCTATTCTGTCACAAACATGGACACATGTATCCAGCCTACGGCAAACATCGACACATTTATCCAGTCTACAGCAAACATGGACTAACAGAATCTTCCCCTACCTTGAGGGTGTGACAAGAGAAATCTCCAACCCGAGTGGTGATGTTTTTTGGTTGTCTAACCTGAGGCTTTGCCGAGGGTTAGACAACCAAAAAATCACCCGACGATTGGAGATTTATCGTTTACACCCTCAAGGTAGGGGATGATTATTTTTCTCCCATCCTATTATTTCAGTCACAGCTCCACTGAAAGCAGTTTGCCATGTTTGTAAACAAAAATACATGTGGGGTATGCATATCGTCATTCACTTTTGATGACGTCACAATTACCGATGACGCATTTTAATGACGTCACAATTGAACACATGCTAATCGGCACGAGGCTATCTCCCCCTAGGGGGTGACAAGCTGATCTTTCCCGGCTAAAACGGGAGATACACCTGTGAAGGGTGGGGGAAATATGTATCCAGCCCAACACAAACATGGACACATATATCCAGCCTAATACAAACATGGATATGTGTTTTTAATTTTACTACAATTATGGACACATGTATAGTAAACTAACACAAACATGAACACATCTATCCAGTCTACTACGACAATAGAAACAGTCTAAAAACAGACTACCACAACCAGTAATAAGGAAATCCATCTTCAGTTTTCCTGTTAATCCATGTTATAAATCTAGGCTGTTAAGTACAAACATTTGCTTCACCTTTCATGTAAATTAATAACCAAAATTTAAGGAATTCACGAGTTTCTTTCTAACTTTCTATAAACGATTATGCTGTTACTTCTAAATCTGTCCTCACCTCTTCCTCCCCTTCCTCTGAGGAAGATGATGCCTCAAACCCCTGACCTCGGCCATCGTTCCCAGGGAAATCCCCAAGGGCTGTGGACAGTGTGGAGACTTTCTGAAGAAGCACTTGTACGATGCCTTTAAACTTCTTAATCTGCCCTTCTCTCTGACTGACACGCTCTTCCAGGAATGTAACACACTCTTTCAGTCCTAAATAGAAAGTATTATCATAATTATCACAACTATGAACGTTATGCCTTTACTGGACAAAACCTTGTCACCAGGACCAACTATACCTCTCACAACATACTTGGTAGGTCGACTGGTCCTGCATGATAATTGATTGGATTGTCCTATCAATAATATTGGAATAAAAATTAAATGTACTTTCACTTTCATTTCTACTGCAGATATATCATATGGTGATTTAATTTTTCGCTAAAACATAACTTCATTATTGTAAACAAAGAAAATCCCAAATTACAATTAAAAAGTACGACATTTCTTGTCAGGAGAGCTAAACAGATTTGTTCGTTTAGGGTTTTTGCACCTTTGCAACAGCTACAAGGTTATATGAAGCCCATGCTGTCTGCAGATGATGGGGCCACCTAAGGTGCCATATCTAACTGAAATGTCATAGCTTAGTGGCATTATTCTGATGACAGGCTAATTAATCAGAGGGTTCTATGGAGACACTGTCGAAAAAATATTGAGTGAGAGTGAAAACACGAGATAGCTTTAAGTCCCAAGTTTTGTAATGAGAGGCACCACATCTAATTTGGTCGCCTTGATGCCCCTAATTAGAGGACAGAGAAGATCACTTCTGATTCTACAAAGGTCATATACATGTACAGTATAAGGTGCATTGTCTCTTACAATCATGCAGTGGGGCAGAGCAGGGCAGTTCTTTTCTCTTGTTGAATGTTCCCAAATCTGCCACCAGGACCAGGTGAGAAGACAGATTCTATCACCACTGTAGACTACATGATGGTCTCATCCAGATCAGTCTACTACATTTACATAGGGGTGAAAGAGTTCAGAAGAGAAATGCTGTACATGGGGAAATTTTTCGCTGCAGTATAACTTTCACATTTTTTGCCCTCCCCATTTAGGGCGAATTTATTATGACAGCAAATATTAGTATACATTATGTAAAATGTAGTAATTGCATGTGAATGGTAAAATTAATGCTAGGGAAACACAGATTTTATCTGCAATAGGTGAGTGTTTGATTGGACGAAAATTTGACAGTATAAAGTAACTCCGAGGATATAGGACAGTAACATGAATTGTATTACCTGATACTTTGGCTTCAGAATCCTCAAATGTCTTTTTATATTTCCTACAAAAATAATATTAACTTTGAGAATAATCTTACTTATCAACCTCAAGTTTGTATATAGTGTGATTTTGTAAACAGATGGGCATCTTATTATAAGATGTGTGATTTTACACGTGGAGTAAATTGAAATGCTGAAATGTAATGTCTGCCTACATAAGCATGATATCCTCCTGCACATTATTTTACATTTTTGTTTTATCTTAATAATAATAATAATAATAATATTCAACATTTGATATAGCGCCCTATCTAGCTAACATAAGCCACTCTAAAGTGCTTCACAGTACACAGATATACCATAAGCATATATATTAATCAATACAATTTTGAGAAATTTGCAGGAGCTGCCTTATGAGGCGCTAACTACTAGTCCTATGCCACCTGGCTAATATCTCCCTATGTGTGTATGCCTGCGTGTGTGCTGGAGATGTTCCATAAATACAAACATATATATATAAAATATATAGCAAACGTTTTGAATTATAAAGGTGTACGTTATTATAATTCAAGTGTAAACAAAATATGAACTTAGTCTTCATACATTATTACGCAAAATAAACATTTAGAATGAATATCAAGTTAAAGCTACATTAAAGTAAAGTGTATTTAAGGATTAACTTGAATATATTTTTCATGTTATGATGCTATAACACAAAAAAACAGAGTGTACTCTAAATAAACCGCGAAGCGGTTTATGATGAGAGTACACTCCGTTTTTTTGTGTTATAGCTCCATAACATGAAAAATATATTCAAGTTAATCCTTATAATTTAATCTACAATGTACTATACACAATCCCTGTGGAAATCCACTTTTATTGATGGACTCTTGTTTCTTAGAAATTATTGCGCCGCTGTATCAACCAATCAAAAGCGATGTTACAAATGGTGACGTCATTTTTTTACGTTATGGGATGATAACATACATTTTTTTAAATTATTATATATTCTGGCAAAAAAGGACTTACTGTTGTTCTTCTGTCAGTTTCTTCATTATTCTCCTGTTTGATAACTTCAGGTCATTTACATAACTGAACAGGGCCTGAAACTAAAAGGAACAGAACATGTGTTGGCTATTATATTGTAGTGGGAAAGGTGTAGTGAAAAGAATACATGCATTTTCTTTCTAGGTTTGCATAACAGTATATTAATTGACACTTATAATGTTTGTTTAAATACAGTTATAAATGGAAACTTCATCAGGAGTTGATTCTCTTCTGTTGTTTATTTGCTATGTTTTACCACAAGAGGTCTTCTGTATACTTGTGCAGGACTTAAATTGAGGTTTGAATGATAAAAAATGACAAAACTATTTACCTCGCTGTAGGCTTTTTGTACTGTTGGAGAGAGACCATTGCATTTAGTTGCTTGTTCAGAAGATTTTTCTGTCATTGCTGGATTGCAGTCCTGGTCTTGAAGGACATGATTATCTCCCCTGCCATCTTGCATGTCGAGACATTCCTCAATCATCGGTTTATTTTCAGGCACACTAGTACATGTAAGTGGCTCTACTGTGTGTGATTTTTCTAAAGGTGTATGTTCAACTGGAGAAACATCTTCAACTGGAAAAATATTTGATATACATCCATCGGAATCCTGCCAGCTTTCTTTACCATCTTGACTAGGAAAGACACTCTGACCATTGTAGAGTGACTTTTTGAGTGGTTCCTCTTCATCTGACCACTCCAGTATGGTCGCATCTACTGGAACGGTCATATTAGCCTCTGTTCCAAACTGTGGGGTTGCCCCTATGTCTGCTTGAACAGATATATTAGCCTCTGTTCCAAACTGTGGTGTTGCCCCTATGTCTGCTTGAACAGATATATTAGCCTCTGTTCCAAACCGTGGGGTTGCCCCTATGTCTGCTTCAACAGATATATTAGCCTCTGTTCCAAACTGTGGTGTTGCCCCTATGTCTGCTTGAACAGATATATTAGCCTCTGTTCCAAACTGTGGGGCTGCCCCTGTATCCACTGGAACAGATATATTAGCCTCTATTCCAAACTGTGGGGTTGCCTCTTTGTCCTGTGCTATAGCTCCACAAGGGCTTTGCTGTACCGCGGTGTCCATTTTCACAGTCTGAGGGCCCTGTTGCACCCCTGTGTGAGTTTTGATATCTTCTAACCCTTTCCTTATCTCTTTATGTTGTAACTCTGAGCTGTCAGACCTTCCTGGCTTCTTACCGTCTTCCTTTTTTGCTGAACCAATTTGTTTGTCTCGCTGCGACAAAGACAAATGATTGTTGTTGTTGACCTTTAGACCCCCAGGTGCTGACAGATCTAGATCAACAGATGACCCTTGATTCTGAGAAATGTGATCTGCCTTGTCTGCTTCATGTTCATGTAATTCATCACTTCTCTGGTTGTTTGAGTTATCATTACCCATTTTCATCTAAAACTGAACTAAAATGAAAAATAAAATATATGAAACAATACATAAAACCTCTTAATTGCTGCATTAAATATTAAATGAGTAAATTTTCGCTACAAATTCAAACAGTAAAACTTATTTCCTAACTGCTGGATAATTGGTTGCCCATTTCTTCAATCCAGTTATAATTAAATCAATTTATTTATGTCTAAAAATATGTTGACTTGTTAAGAAAATAAGAAAAAGCAATGTAACATGTAGACTTTGAAAAGAAACCTATTCTGTTTAACCAGGTTACTCAACCAAAATGCATACTGGACCCATTAAATACTGCAACCCAGTGAACTTAATACACTTAGGCAAACAAGAGGCCTGTATCACCAATGTGTAATTTAATGTTACGGTGACATATATTACTGCAGTGATTATCTATAATCATTGCAGCAATTTATGTCACTGTAACATTAAATTATGATGAGTATAATGAGTATTATTCAAGTACCCCTGTGAATTAATATTAAATCAATATATATGGTTCTGCCATGAAGTTCATATAAACAATTATACTAGTAATAATGGACAAACACAACCGCTGTATCCCTTCATTAAGCTACAGACCAACCATCTGAATGTCGTGGGCTCCATAGCTCATAAGAGGCACAGTTGTCTAGTGGTAGGACGCCGGACTCGTGACCCAAGGGTTGCGGGTTCGAGTCACGGCACTGTGTTGTAATCTCTGAGCAAGATACTTTACTCCGCTTGTTCCAGTCTACTCAGCTGTAAATGAGTATGTGGTTGGGCAGTGCTAGAATTGTAGAATGCTAGCTGTGAGCGTGAAAATGGCAGCACCAGCTGTATGCTCCCCAGGGAGTTGAGAAAGATATTGGCTGGTTGCAAAGGCCCTATAACCATGGATAATAATTTGTGAACCGCTTTGAGACGACCTACAAACTAGGTTGTGGTAAAGCGGTATATAAGAACCTCGAATCATTATTATTATTAATTATAAGATGACACTGTATAGTTTAGCATTGGACCTGTGTTAGGTTGGTTATGTGGGCTAGTGTCATTTATTTGTACACAACTTGATGGCAATCTACCAAGGAAAGCTACAGGACAAATAAACTGTCTTTAGGCCGATGCATAAGTTCTATAAAAGGAGTTGTTGAAATTATTAACACAAGTGACATGATTGACTATGACAGTGGGTGAAGCTCATTTACTTGTACAATAATAAATCTGTATGGCAAAATATCACAACAGTAACATCTGAGGATCCGGAACACACATAGGATTCTGGTAAAAACTGGATTTGAAAAAAAAATCAGTCTATGACTTATAAAAATATGCACACAGTACAACATATAAAGAAATTGACCTTTGGACAATATTATTTTTAGAAGATGACTACACTGAGATAAAAAGTAAAATGTCATCCAAATTTTCAAAGAGTGCATGTCTGCAAAGAAAAATCCCAAGAACAACTTGGTGAGTACGTTAGGCAAAATGAAATGTTGTTTATTTTAGTTCATCCTACCTACCCTAACATTAATTTGCACCTACACACAACCTATTTTTTTTATTCAAGGTAGCACTGTTAAAGTCAAGATTTCTCTCTTATATACAAACAAAACAAAAAAATGAAACGAAGAAAATTTATTTATACCGATATGTAACTGGAAACAATATCATGGTTGTTTGTTTGGTCACTGTTACAGTGGTCAAACAAGTTGTTTAGTTTGACACGTGTAACAGGAAAGAGAATAGTGTGCTTCCACCGAGGATCGAACCCTCGATCTCCATGTTCCTAGTCGGACACTCTACCACTGAGCTAAAGGGAAATTCCCTCTAGCTCGAAGGCAGAAGGCGACCTTAATCCTATGTACAATAAAAAACCTGCCACACTACTCCCCCTTTTTAAATGTGTTCGCCCTCGAACACCACAACCCAGGTTCTAACTCCCTGTCATCACAGAGAGGGCCACAGACACCATTTGAAACAGGAAAGAGAATAGTGTGCTTCCACCGGGGATCGAACCCTCAATCTCCAGGTTCCTCAGTCGGACGCTCTACCACTGATCTAAAGGGAAATTCCCTCTAGCTCGAAGCTAGAAGGCGACCTTAATCCTATGTACAATTAAAACCTGCCACACACGTAAATATTTGAAACTTTTTTTCAAAATACTTGGGCCGGGTGTAAGTGTGTGTGTCGGTATGTCTGTCAGGTTGTGTGTATATATAATGTACATGTATTATATCAGGTTGTTATTGTGACGTGTGAGAGATGAAAGATAGTATTGGCCGTCAGACAGACACTTTAACCCTGCATGAGCCCATATGAAGGTGGGAGCCCCAGCTGAGTGCCCCACGTGTATCTCAACACCAGTCTACACGTTAACCCTAAGCATGTAGAGATCAATATGTATAGCTCATGTACTTTACAGCCACAGAGTATTAGGGTAGGTACATGTACGCCTAATTACATTTTGTGCATGAAATATACTTAACAGTTCAAAACAATAATATCAAATAATTTCAAAACAATATATTGATTTTACTGTACTTAAATTATAATGTAACAAGTATTCAATAAATCCACTACATCTGTGAAAATGTCTGGTAGTATTTTATAGGAGACTGGAAAACCCATATGGACATAAATTACTTGTGTGACACTCGTGTGACATTTTGCTTCCGTGAAAAAATATTTTGTAGATTTCTTTATATTAATAATCATCGTAGATTTATTTCCAAATGGAAACCGTAAATGAAGAGCATGTGAACACACCGATTCTACAGAGCTGTATAATGCTATGATTCCAATAAAGGAATATAATGATAAGATACGATTAAGCAGACACGTGACATACAAAATTCAATGAAATGAAGTATAATACCTGGTTTGAAACCTTTTCTGTTGCAAATACTTGAGGCAATGCACCACAGATCATTAGTGGGGAAAATCTACTTTCGTTTTGTCTTTGACTCATTTCCTTTTGCTATTTTTAGCATTTGTAAAAAAAAATCTTCTTACGTCACATCTAAATCAATGGAACATGACCATATATTTTTTTCATTTGATACGGTTGACACGTTTAGTAACATAAAAAAACCTATAAAAATATATGTGGAAATTTACTTACCTCGCCATGGCGGTGTCGGGGCAAATCATTTTCCGTCTTAAAAAGGTCCGCACTTGATAATTTCCGGTTTTAATGCACTGTAATTTTTTGGCCAAATTTTAAATAATATTTTTTTATATATTTTGCAAGTTATTTAAATGCCAAAAAAAACACCATTAGACGATTTTTTGCTTATATTTAAGTAATTTACCAAAGTTACTTTCGGTTTCATAATTTTACTTCCGGGAAGAGGAAACATACGCCATTTGCATGTCATCGTCGTCTTTTTGACAACAAACACTAAGGCGTCGTCCTTGATCATGATAAAGAGTTAGCCATTTATAACCAATGGTATGCATGCTATCAAAATTAATCAAAGGCTATGTTTTTTTAAGGAAACAAATAGGTGACAGTCTATTTATCTCTGTGATATAACGTTATATCAAATTGTCTCTTGTCAGTTACTGTAGGTACTGGAGCAGGGACACATCTACCTATGAAACAAGAATTGCCGGTACTGCAGTTCCTGTCTGTTGTTAGGGTAAGTGGAAACTCGAGCTAAGTAAGTTACTTAGTACTACATTTACCAATGTACGACTAGTTTTATATTTCTACAAGAAATACGAGACTTTGCGCGAATAAAAAATTATCATGAACAGTTTTCCCCATGGCCATGGATTTTAGAGTTTTGAGATATTTTGAAAGATTTTCAAGACACTTTTCAAGGTACGCCCCAGGTCTTTTTTGGCACACTGTTTAAGTTATGAAGCAGTATTTTCATGCACACAGATCAGGTCCAGTACACTATGTCGATTGAGCTACATATACATCAGTACATTGTAGCTATAAAGACCTATAGGGCCCTATAGCTATATATATTCACCTATAAATTATAGCTGTATTGAGCTATATTTTCTCAGATTTGAATTTTCATTAAATTTAAAGCAAAGTCGCATAAAACAATAAGGTTTATGGTAATGTTGACTACAAAAAGCATACATTTAGATGTTAATTTTCATTTTTCATAAATGTAAAATTTCCGTTTTTTTACATCATTATTTTTTTAAAAGAATACTTATATTTAATGTCTTTTGTTATCAACCTAATGATAAAATCTTCTTTTAAAAGCGACTTAATTTGTTTTGTTTTCCTTAAAAAAGATAATTACATGAAAATAGCTCAAAAGACCTATTAAAGGTCTTTACAGATATCTAGCTCAATCGACAGAGTGTACTGGACCTGCAGATTATATACACATGTATTTATTCTGACAGTATACGTGAAATATGTATAGGATATACAATCCTTTAAATTGACAGCTTGCAATACAAATATAATTGTAATTTGGTATTTCATAGCACTACTTTTTTTATTAAAACAATATCTTTGCGTTTGGTTTTTCATGTGTTCATCTATTTCAAGCTTAAATTGTTTAACGGATGTTGTGTTGACTACATTTCGTTGGGAAGTTATGTTCCATATGTTAACATGCAGTTCTCTGTGTGATCGAGTATACATAGTTTGTTACATTTACAATGTATCTGATAAAACTCTTGATAGATTTAAAAGTTATGGCCCTGTTTAATTTGTTTGAACATTCTTTAGTTGTGAATAATTCTATGATTCTTTGTCATATTATTCAGAAGTAATTTTATAAACCTCTGTCATATCACCATACCTTCAATAGGCTAATATGGGTAATGTTAATTTCTACAAACGCTCTGTGTAAGATAAACTGGGAAGTCCTGGTACGTCTGTACTTGTCCTGGTAAGTCTGTACTTGTTTTGTTTCTTGATGTTAAAAAACCTACTGGTCTGCCTGGAAACCAACGGTGGACCAGCAGCTAATTCCACCACTGTCAGAAATGCCATAACCACACTGGTAGAAATTCTATATATGAAGTATCCGATATATGATCTGTCATGTTATGTATCGATCTATGCCACTAAAGATAAATTAAGTTTTAAGTATACATATATATATATCAAAGGTAAGATCAAATCAAGTTCAAAAATAGTAAGTTAAATTTTGAAAGATTGAATTGGCACACTGCAAGTGCATTGAATTTTTGATCAATAAACAAACAGTATGATCATTCATCTTCTCAGATGCCAGCTAGTTTAAAAATTCTTGTGGTGTCTGTCTGAATTGACAAAAATGTATTTGCTACATTTTCAGATTAACTGAGAGATCAGTACAACAAGAATAATGAGTTCATCTCACTTGCATACGATTGTCATCAAAAATAAGGATGAGCAGTCGTTGAAGCGATTTGAAGTAAATGCACCAGAGAGGATCAAAGGTAAGTAAATAAAGCCCACTAATCCTTTAATGGACGAACATATTGTAACATGTCAGCCCCGTATAACTTTGGTGATTTTAACCACGGCTGTCTCGGCCCTGCAGCCGATTTGTTTACATATGGCTGTGCGCCTGTGTGACCGGTTTTCACTAAATAAATAACATCAATGTCCATTTTATAGTCCAAAATGTGGTGTTGTACATCAGTTTTGAATGATGATTGTTCAAATTACAACTATAGAACATTGTAGAAATGACACATGATTTCCATGTTAATTTTGTATTTATCGACCTCTTGTCGGCATTTCAAATCGCTCTCAAAATCACCATTTTGGAAGCTGCATGACTATGCGAGATGCTCGAAACTACTTACATCGATTCTTTAACTTCCTAGTCTTGTAAGCCACATTAGATTGATGGACATTGAGTCATTAATATGAATAAAATGAATATGCTTACCTTTTTGGCCACTGTTTATGTTTGGGGCTTATGCACTTGTACATAAGCCAGGGATTTAATCAAATACATGTTACAAGCCAAGCTACTAGTCAGTATATATAGCTTGGCTAACAATGATTATATTGAGATCCTAAATGATACTAATTAATAATAGATATTGATGAATCCCTTGCAATGTAAATAATTGGACACTGGCCTTTCTGTCTATATTCAGTGTATTGACTATGTGTGTATGGGAGATGGGCAGCGACCATATATACATAGCGAGGGCCTAATGTAAACAATCACTTGTGGGGGGATCTGTCCATATTTGGTTGGGTGTAAGTCGAGAGGGACATCGACAGTATACATGTGAGGGGCCCGACTGGTCAGTGGTCAATGATGGTAATTGATAGGTCACGTGCAACCAAACAGCAGTCTGATTGGCCGAAGGAATTTTGGATAGCGTCACTTCAGTCCAGCGACCGTAGCAAAATGACCAGTCGGAAATAATCTTGAGTTTCATTAATTACTTTGTCCATTAATCACGGAATTATTTTAAATCAAATCAATATACTATTGAGGTCTCTTTTCATATAGCCTGTTGGGAACATATTAAGAGTTTTAACCAAGCGGTTACCTAATATTTACCGGACAGGGGATGTATATTTACAACTGTGCGTGAACTTTCGCTCCGGACAATGGCGAGTCGTCGACCTCGATCGACTTTGAGGAAAAGTGTTCCATACAATACGTCTAACCCGTGTAATTGGACCATAACGCAACTACGCGAGGAATTGACGAACATTGGTATCAATGCTCCTTCCACAGGTATCACCAAAGCAGGTTTGAAGGCATTGTATATGGACAATGTGCAGCGTCTCGCCCGAGTGAACGTACAACACTGTCAACAATCCGAGTGAAGTCAATAGCACAGGACAGAGTGGCAATGTTATGCCCAGTATTCCGAGTGTATCAACCAATAGTTGTATGTACTGGAGTGTTTAGGTATCAATTCAGACTGTTATAATGGACATAGTTTCCACATAGGAGCGTCATTGGTACATCTTCCCGACCACCTTATTTAAGTGTTGGGGAGATGGTCCTCAGATGCGTACTGCAGGTATATCAGAACTCCAAATTCCTCAATCAGAGAGGCCCAAATAGCACTGACATCTACCAGATAGATCATGGACAGTCGGGCAATTGTGTGCAAGATTTGCAATAAGCCCATGATAATGTCTGATGTTTATAAGCCCACATATATCATATTCGCAGTTAAGTAGAAAGCAACAGATATTGTAGCATTGTCCTTCCATACATGTATGTGCATCTCTTGCTTAAGCCAAGGTTGTGTAAAAACTACTTGGGATTATTGCAGGATAAATGTGGTAATTCTCACACCATGCTTGCGTATATACGTACCGGGTGACCTTTAACTATAAATGACACCCGACAACGAGTCAAATACGTAGAACACGTGGTACGTGGTAACATGATGCTGTAACAATCCAAGACCATCACGTCTCATATTCAATGGAAATGCATACAGGTACTGCTCACCAGTAGCTATATATGTATATAACAAGACCAAAATTTGGATTAGGCAACATACATAACTCATATAAACCTATTTCATTTTATTATTATTATTATTATTATTTTTTGGGGCACTCAGCTATATTACTAAGTAATAGAAATTTAATAACTAATTTCTAATATAAAAAAAAACTTCAAAAAATTGTAAATATGTAATAATATTACATAACATCTATAATTAGATATAACAGTTTTAGACATTACTATATATGTCCTAACCCAATACCGAGCCGGAGCAATGTAACCAAAGAGTTACAGCCAGCTTGAGTTTACGGGCGGCGACACCAAATTGTCCCATAGTTACCTATAATGTCGCACTGGAGCAATGTAGCCAAAGAGTTACAGCCAGTCCGCAAAAGGTAACATTTTAAATTTAATTGTAACATGTTAGATGCTATTCTTAATCCGGTTTGGTATAGCAAGGTATACATAGGAGTAATCTTGGTAACAACAAAGTTTGTACTGCTACGAATATTATACTCGCACTCAACTCAGTATTGCAGCAAAAGTCTGCAGATCTGAACAACAGAAGCAATCAGTCACAATTTGTAGCAAACAGGACTTTGTCTACACAGCTACAAATCCCAGCTGCCAACTGAGTTAAAGAATAGTATCAACAATAAACAGTCTATATGCTGAGTTCGCCCCAAATGCCAATATGATGTTTTTTATGTACTTGATGTATTTCTGTATACAATTATACTTGTGCATGATTATGGATGTTTTCTGATATGTATGTATGGTAGGATATTGATTAAATGTGTGTACAAAATCTATCTTGCTGTTATTTGTTAATTTAAACTTTAAATGATGTCTTAATATAGATGTTTAGTCAGTTGGAGAGACCTCTCAGACCTCTCCTGGAAACTTCTTTAGCGTTTCGATAACTATATATATATAATTACCGGCATCTGACGTCACCACCGCATGGAATCCCATAAACTTGGTCTAATTTTAATCTTTACCTTTAGAAGTATTAAATAGTAGATTTACATGTATTTTTCTACTCTGTACAATTATTTTTATAACACAAAGCACATATCGTTTGAGCAGATATTATGAGAAGTTGTGTGTGATTAATAAGGTCTGTTACTTTTACATGTAATCCTATGGGAATGGAGTGTCTCTGGACCTCTCCCGAGTAGTAATATTTTGAAGGTTATAAATACAGGTCTGATCAGACATTTTTCTTCAGTTCATCAGCGGTCACTGTCAGACGGTCGCCTCTGAACAGGTCAGTCTTAGGAATTTCTCATACTTTTGTTTTAGGCTTATAATGCTCACGTCATTTAATGTAGTTCTAAAGTATGTATAGACATTGTCATCGGATGTAAGGGGAAATTCTGGTATTTGGCTATTTATATCTGAATGGTCATTTTATTACAAATTACCTGAACAGTTGAAGTTTTCTTGTATTTTTGCTGGTCTGCATATCAGATTATAATTTAGGTGGCTTCAAATAATAGAGTAAACACAGTCAGTTAGTGTGGGCTAATTGTATAACTTGAGAGTAGTTGTGTACACATTGTTATTGGCTGGTGCAGGAACTTGTATTGATGCCTTAGCTTGTTTGTACTGTAATATTGTACTGATCTTTACTCTGTAAATATACCTTGTTATTTAACTTGTTCCTTTAATAAATTATATTTGTACTTGTCTATTTGGCTCTTGGTTGATATTTAGAGTTTTTCGCATTGTTCAATTAGACTACTAGACAATTTTTATTTATTAATTTCTGACCATTGTTCTCGGACCTGACATCGAGGATATATAACATATCCGACCTTGATAATCTAGGATCCAGGAAGCACACTATATTGGTGAAACAAGAACCCCCATACTTCTTCGACAGGGGCCGGTGAGACGCTTGTTACAATATTATGTATATCAACCCTAAAATCTTCTGCAGGCTAATGGGAAGATAGAAGGGTTGACTTCCTGTATTCTGATAATTTCAAGGTGACTTTAACACCAACCCCTGTGGTTTTTTCTACTGCATTCTATTGGGGACATTTTAATCATAGCTACATCTAATTACTGTATATATATCTGTTAAGTATTTCAGGTCACCAGTCATAGATAGAGTTGCGTTTTTAGCTCACCTGGCCCGAAGGCCCAAAAGGCCCAGGGTACTGATATTGGGCCTGTAGCATGCTGGGATGAAGGGCTACCAAGTTGGTTCAAATAAATGACTGACCAACTTTCAAGGTCACAGGGGTCAAATGTCGTAAAATCTTTTATCGACTTCTCAATAACCAAAAGGCCCAGGGTACTGAAATTAGACATGTAGCATGCTGGGATGAAGGACTAACAAGTTTGTTCAAATGAATGACCTTGACCCACTTTCAAGGTCACAGGGGTCAAATATGTTAAAATCTTCAAACAACTTCTTCTCAAGAACCAAAAAGTGCAGGGTGATGATATTGGGCCTGTAGCATGCTGGGATGAAGGGCTACCAAGTTTGTTCAAATGAAAGACCTTGACCCACTTTCAACCTAATGTCCTTGTTCGACATTCAAGGTCACAGGCGTCATATGTTTAAATCTTTTAATAGGATCTTATGAATGAAACACTTATATTCTGCCTGTAGCTGTATTTTAGTCCACTTTTAAGATTACAAGTGTGAGATTAATACCAGGTGAGCGATGCAGGCCCATTGGGCCTCTTGTTTACCTTAATTTTACAACAGCCTGTTCCTTTATGAATTGGGAAATATATAGCACTATTTCTAATGAAATTGTGAATATATTCCTCATTTTTCAGCTGTAAAACTGAGCAAAAAAAAAATCACTGTACAGCTAATATTGTTCAGTATCAAGTCTATTAAGAACTTATAATTCAACAACCTAGTATGAAGTTGGTAAACAAAACCCCATATGTTCAATTTTCCACCACAGAAATTACCATATGACAATATGCAAACCATAGAAGGATTAATATGGTGAGTAGTGAAGTGTATGTGGGGCAAGGCAAGGTATCAAGACACAGAAAACACAGAAAACACAGAACACTTACATTACATTAGAACAAAATAGAAGTTTATTAATATATAACTAGGGCCAAAAAAATATATGAAAAGCTAGGGTTCCCGACCAACCCTAGCTTTTTACCCCGACCCAAAACTTTTTGATGAAAAAAAAAAAGGAGAAAAAAATGGAAAAAACCGCAGATTTTAGAAGGTTCCTTGCCTTTCAAAATGGCTTCCAGCTCCGTGTTGCCGCTAAATGTCAGCATATGGAGCACAATTTGCCTTCAAATCTACCTTGTTTATGTAATTCTTTGTTTTACATACAATAGTAGGGTCATAATCACATGACCACATGGTACACAAAAATATACAAAAAGAACATTTAATAAAAAAAATCTGACCTACTTACCCTTGTCTTTTTGCCCATGCAACCCTAAACAGACATATTTTTTTTGGCCTAATATCTAAAAAGAACAAATCCCTCAGCTATAGCTGAAGACAAAATATACACAGCATTGATTGTAGATTAATGCCATAGAGATAATAGTTTACTTGGAAAACTGAAGTGTGAAGAAAGATGCTGAAGCTGGAAAAATTGATACAACAGTTTTTCCAGTGATGATGAATTGGAATATGGAGTAGAATTCCTGAAAATATATTTTTGATAGACATTGCTTAGCAATCTTGTTCCAGGTCCCAAATATACAGTTTTATTAAGGGGCATACCTATTCCAGGTCAATGAATTGCATGCTCAATCAAAAATTATCAACAAGAAGCTACAGTGCCTGCAACTACTCTTTTTATCTACTCTTTGAAATTATTGGTCAGACAATTGTATGGTAATCCTATTTTCTTCTGGGCAACCCTGGCGGCCCATTGTCTCCTGGGCAACTCTGGCGACCCATTGTCTCCTGGGCAACTCTTGCAGCCCATTGTCTCCTGGGAAACCCTGGCGGCCCATTGTCTCCTGGGCAACTTTGGCGATCCATTGTCTCCTGGGCAACTCTTGCAGCCCATTGTCTCCTGGGCAACTCTGGCGACCCATTGTCTCCTGGGCAACTCTTGCAGCCCATTGTTTCCTGGGCAACTCTGGCAGCCCATTGTCTCCTGAGCAACTCTGGCAGCCCATTGTCTCCTGGATAACTCTTGTAGCCCATTGTTTCCTGTGCAACTCTGGCAGCCCATTGTCTCCTGGGCAACTTCTGGCAGCCCATTATATCCTGGGCTTCTCTGGTTCAGCCAGTTGTATATACATAATTTCAACAGTTTGACAGTTTAGAATTAGGGTGAAATTATTTTCTTTATGTTATGTGGTGCCAATAGGTGGCCTGATGGTCTGAGAATGAGATTTGCAAGTGTAAATCCCAACCGCGTGTTACCTGTATATATCACAATATTGCAAAATCTCATTCTCACTTGCAACTGGTACAATAATTAGCTATTCAAAGAAAGGATAAACATTCATGGCATGTAATGTCATATATGAAAAGCATGTACATTATCAGGCCACTCTTTAGCTCACCTGCCCGAAGGCATAAACGACTGAGCTTTGGTCAGAAGCATCCTTAGGGGATCAAATGGGAACAAATTTTGTATAAATGGTGGGTCTGGCCCCCCTGGGAACTCGGGGGTGGAGCCCAATAGGGGAAATATAGCAAATTCTTTAAAATCCTTCTTCTTCTGTAGGAATGAAAGGATTTATTCCATATTTGCTCTGAAGCATCCATGGGTGAAGGGGAACCAATTTTGTATAAACCATGGGTCTGGATGGCCTAGGGTCTGGCCCAACCCTTTGAGACATAGACCCTGGATAGTAAATTTAAAACAGTTGAGATACCCACCCCAAAACCATATATTCAAATGCCTGGCATAAGGTGACAAAAAGTAGTCATGGTATTAGAATAGAACCTGGGGTCTGACCGAACCCCTATAGGGACCTAGTTTCTGAGTCACAGCTTGGAAACAGTTGAGATCCCCACCCCATAACCATACATTAAATTGCTGGGCATGAAGAATCTAATACAGACATACTACAAGAATTGGCATTGGGGTCTAGCATATTCCCTTGGATCTCCTTTGGAGAATGTTTTGCCATGATTGCTTAGATATCCAGGTGAGCAATTGGGTGGACTCATGAGCATTTCTCCTACTCTAGATCTCTTGTACATTATTCTACATACAATTCTCCAGAAGATATGAAAATAACAATATAATTCTTCTTTTCTTTTTTTCGTTTTAGAACCATGTTCAAGACAGATTTTGATAATAGAGCTGAAAGATGTGTTATCATGCCAGAGTGGGATGGTAAAGGATGACTTAGACATCATTACCAGTGAGACAGGCCAAAAAAATCAGAATAACCCCCCTACCATGAGGGCGCACGTTCATCTAAATAGGGGCAGGACGGACGCGATTCTGAGAAATCTAATTGAGAATAAGGACCAACTGCTGGAGAACTATATACAACAACTTCTGGAACATAACATCCAAATCAATGAGCTGGACCTCTCAGGGCACCAGCTGCTGTTTGAAGTGTTACTGAAAGACCAGGCAGACATTGATGAAACTGTGGACATGTGTCTGACACCCTTCAAGTTCTGGTTGGTGGAGGAGAGTAAACTGTCCAGTTTTAAACCCTTCTCTCCAACTTCATATGATGGAGTACAATGTTATTTGGAATCATATGGTCAGGAAAATTTGTTTGTTGATCAGGGCTCAAGTTCCAGGATAGAAACTGTTACCACAAGAATCGGGAAACATTCCAATGAGGAAACTGTATTAGGTTCTAATGATTCAAAAAGTAATGGGCAAGAATTCAAAACTGTAACAAGTGATGAACATATTGAAGATCATTTTGATCAGGATGTAAATAGTGAAGAGAAAGAAAAATTTGGTTCGCAACCAATCAAAATTGATGAACTGAAAAGACTTAGAAGTGTCGATACAGGAAAATCACACTGTCAAGAAAAAGGGTTCAGTGACCAAATGTTTGAAAGTACAGGGACCGCATTGAAGGAAAAAGCAAGAAAAAGACGAGTACAGGAGCGATTCAATATTGGAGATTTTTCAAAATCTTCTGGCCGAGAAACTGATTCTATTGGTAATGACGTCATAAATCCCTCCAAAGTTACAATTGAGGACACTACTGAAGCCCTTGGACTAGTTATGAAAACACCAGCATCTTATTCAGTGGGGGAGAATACTGAGAAGAGGGTAACATTCTACATTAATGTCATCTACATTTATATATATATATCTTTGTCATCTACATTTGTATATATATATATCTTTGTCATCTTCATTTGTATATATATATATCTTTGTCATCTTCATTTGTATATAAATATATCTTTGTTATCTACATTTTTTAGCTCACCTGGCCCGAAGGGCCAAGTGAGCTTATGCCATGGTGCAGCATCCGGCGTCCGTCCGGCGTCCGGCGTCAATATTTTACTTTAAACAACTTCTTCTTAATAACCAAAAGGTCTAGGGTGATGATATTTGGCCAGAAGCAAACTAGGATGAAGGGCTACTAAGTTTGTTCAAATAAATGACCTTCACCTATTTTCAAGGTCACAGGGGTCAAATATGTTAAAAACTTTAAACAACTTCTTCTGAATAACCAAAATGCCCAGAGTGATGATTATTGGCTAGTAACATACTGGGATAAAGGGCTACCAAGTTTGTTCAAATGAATGACCTTCGTCCATTTTCAAGGTCACAGGGGTCAATTGTCTTAAAAAATCTTTATACAACTTCTTCAGAATAACTAAGAGGCCTAGGCTAATGATATTTGGCCAGTACCATGCTAGAATGAAGGGCTACCAAGTTTGTTCAAATGAATGACCTTTACTTATATTCAAGGTCACAGGGGTCAAATATGTTAAAAACCTTTAAACAACTTCTTCTCAATAACCAAAAGGCCTAGGATGATGCTATTTGGCCAGTATCATGCTGTGATGAAAGGCTACCAAGTTTGTTCAAATCAATGACCTTCGTCCATTTTCAAGGTCACAGGGGTCAATTGTCTTAAAAAATCTTTATACAACTTCTTCCGAATAACTAAGAGGCCTAGGCTAATGATATTTGGCCAGTACCATGCTAGAATGAAGGGCTACCAAGTTTGTTCAAATGAATGACCTTTACTTATATTCAAGGTCACAGGGGTCAAATATGTTAAAAACCTTTAAACAACTTCTTCTCAATAACCAAAAGGCCTAGGATGATGCTATTCGGCCAGTAGCATGCTGTGATGAAGGGCTGCGAAGTTTGTTCGAATGAATGACCTTGACTTATATTCAAGGTCACATGGGTCAAATATGTTTAAAACCTTTAAACAACTTCTTCTGAATAACCAAGAGGCTTAGGATAATGATATTTGGCCAGTAGCTTGTTGTGATGAAGGGCTGCGAAGTTTGTTCAAATGAATGACCTTGACTTATATTCAAGGTCACAGGGGTCAAATATGTTTAAAACCTTTAAACAACTTCTTCTGAATGACTAAGAGGCCTAGGGATAAGGTATTTCGCCATTAGCATGCTAGGATAAAGGGCTACCTATTTTGTTCAAAAGAATGACCTTTACTTATTTTCAAGGTCACAGGGGTCAAATATGTTTAAAACCTTTAAACAACGTCTTTTGAATAACTAAGAGGCATAGGGTTACGATATTTGGCCAGTAGCATGCTGTGATTAAGGGCTACCAAGTTTGTTCAAATGAATGAACTTCGTCCATTTTCAAGGTCACAGGGGTCAAATATGTTTAAAACCTTTAAACAACTTCTTCTGAATAACTAAGAAGCCTAGGATAATGATATTTGGCCAGTAACATGCCAGGATAAAGGGCTACCAAGTTTGTTCAAATAAATGACCTTTACTTATTTACAAGGTCACAGGGGTCAAATATGTTTAAAACGTTTAAACAACTTCTTCTCAATAACCGAAAGTCTTAGGATGATGATATTTGGCCAGTAGCATGCTGGGATAAAGGGCAACCAGGTTTATTCAAATGAATGACCTTTACATATATTCAAGGTCACAGGGGCCGATGATATTTGGTCATTAACAGGCTGGGATGAAGGGCTACCAATTTTGTCAAAATGAATGACCTTCGCCCATATTCAAGGTCACAGTGGTCAATATATGTTTAAATCTTTAAATGACTTGTTCTGTATAACCAATAGGTCCAGGGTTATGATATTTTGCCAAAAGCATGCTGGGTTGGAAGACTTTAAACTCTGTTCAACCTAATGTCCTTGTTCGACATTCAAGGTCACAGGCGTCATATGTTTAAATCTTTTAATAGGCTCTTATGAATCAAACACTGATATTCTTCCTGTAGCTGCATTTTAGTCCACTTTTAAGATTACAAGTGTGAGATTAATACCAGGTGAGCGATTCAGGCCCATTGGGCCTCTTGTTTATATATATCTTTGTCATCTACATTTGTATATATATATATATTTGTCATCTACATTTGTATATATGTATATTTTTGTCATCTACATTTGTATATATATATATATATTTGTCATCTACATTTGTATATATATATATATTTGCCAAGAAGCTTTCACAACAGTACTTTCAACTCTAGACCACTGATGGCATGACTCATGTTGCATATAATCTATTGATATCAAGCTCACACAGGTCAAAGTTGAACGTGTATTCATGTTTTTGGTACTTTTGTCCAATTTAACTGTAGTTCAGATGTTAATTTTGGGGGAAAGTGGGGAGAGGACAAATTTCTTTTGATAGTGTATTCTAAATTATTGACATGTTCATTTACTTCAGGTTTTTTGTTCTCTCACACATGCTAATTAAGGTTTCACTTCAATACTTTATTAATTATTATAGCTATAGACTCTAAGACATTAATTCACATAGGTGTAAGCTTAAATTATTAGCTCACCTGGCCGAAAGGGCCAAAGGGCCATGCAAGCTTATGCCGTACTGCGTCGTCCGTCCGTTAAATTTTCCATCAACTTTTTCTTTTGAACGACTTCTTTTGAAGAACTGGAGGACCTAGGGTCATGTTATTTGGACAGTAGGTACCTGGGATGGTGTGCTATAAAATATGTTAAAAATTTCAAACAACAATATCCTAAGAACCATTTGGACTAGAGTCATGATAATTGGGTATGTTTTGTAGATCAGCAGTGCAAATCTTTTTCTTAATTACAGTAATGAGGTCAAATGTCAACTTTAAGTGCTATTTAGGGTTCAAATGTCAACATTGGTTAAAAGCTTGAACAATCTTCTTCTCAAGTTCCATAATTATATAAGGCCCAGGGTCATGATATTTGGCCAGTAGGTACCTGGGATGGAGTGCTATTAATTTCCTCATTAAAATGACCTTGACCTAGTTTCAAGGTCACAGGGGTCAAATATGGTAAGAAATTCAAACAACAATATCCTAAGAACCATGTGGTCAAGAGTCATTATACTTTGGTATATTATGGAGACCAGCTGTGTGAATCTTTATTACTGTAATGAGGTCAAAGGCCAACTGTAAGTGCTAGCCGGAGTCAAAGGTCAACATGGGTTAAAAGCTTTAAAATTAAAATTTCACAAATTTCAAACAACATTATCTCAAGAACCTTATGAGAGGTGTTAAAATGTCCTGTGTTTTAGTTACTAAATTTGGTCTGAAGTAACCTATATGTCAGTTTCATGTAACAAAAGAAACAGGTGAGCAATACAGGCCCTCTCGGCCTCTTGTATTATAATTTCTCCCAAAGACTTCAAAGGGTTTCAATTTGACACTTCTAGTCCTAGCTTTATATAGTCACCTGGCAGTGAAGTGCTAAAGGTTTCAGTCACTACTATATACATGTATAGCTAATTGAGGGTCATCATCTCCTCCAAACATCTTTTCTCACTTGATTTGAATTGGGATAATCACTCTTTCTTGGTCCAATGGATAATAATTGAAAGCATATAGTTTTTCTCAAAATATTAACTATTTAGTAAATCTGAATAATAATTTTTTTATGAATTTACATTATTATTCTTAGATATTGGTACAATTGATCAAGATCAGTCATTATTATAACAGTTGTTTATTAAAAAATGAAATTCATTTAATTCCATAACCTAAATATAAACTCAAAATCGCTGTGCAGGATGAATACATGTTGAAAGTAGCAATAGGTAGTCCAAAAACTCGAACAACCTAGAAAGTCCTCAATTTACTAGTCAATTTTATTATATATATTTTTTATTTCTAGCTGGCTGAGCTGAATTCGAGAAATGATAAAACGTTCATGGATTTGGATAGAACCAAGTACATCATCGAGGGTAGTGAACAAGAACAAGTAGGTTTCAATAAATTTGTATTGTAATAACAACAAACTACATCTCCTATGCATGATCATATACAACAAGATGCTAACGATTGCAAAACAAATATCCACTGGTATGGTTAAATATAATATAATTACTGTATACCAGGAATTAATGGTTGCCTAGTCAAATTTTTGCCCTTCGACAGTAAAATCCATTTTTGGTCGTTATTAAATTCCCCCTTTGCATTTAATTAGGTATGTTATGTTGTTAACAAACACTAGCTATTAATGATAAAGTCGCACTCATTTCCGAGGGTGAAAAAGGCGATTTTTTTTCTAACAAATGTAGGCAGTGATTAAGCCTGGTTTTGGTCTCGAAGATAAAATCTACAATTTCTACCATTTTGTTTTGTAGGGAAATGACAGTACATGTATTAATGAGACAGATGCGACAACTAGAATAAGAAACATGCTTTGTATACTGCTGAAGCAGGCTTTTATCAGTGACCAAAGTGAGGCCATTCAGCGGTTTAAGGAAGTGTACGTAAACATGTTGTCAGACATGTCAGCCTTCTACAAATACCACTACTACGTCGAATCAGGACCCAAAGAGCTTATCTTACTGGTAAGGCTGTAGAATCGGGCTAACATGACAGGTATATTCTTGTTAAAGGTGTATGCTATGTTACTGTGACGTAAATCTCCTTTCTCAAAGAGTTTGCACTTGAGAAAATCTGAAGGATATAATAAAATGTTAATGAAGACTTGGTTTGCTGGTGGTGATGACACTTTTGAAAATACACCAGAAATATTAATTACATAGAAATAGGGTTCTTCTCTCAATATATAGGATCTTCCATGAGTTTCCATTTCATACGAGATTTATGAAATGAGTCTTAAGAATATTTCAATTTTGCCTAGCTAAAATGAAAAATTTGCGACGAGTTTCATAAATTTCATATGAAATGAAAACGAGTGTAAGATCATTTTTATTACATAATCAAGACTTGTGGCATTTATTCGTGTAAAACGACAATTTTCATGCATCCTTGAAATGTAAAAAGCCGGGCTGATAGGTCATATTGCATGGGTTAGTACGCAAAAACAATATGACAGGGTTATATTCACTGGAAAACAACACTACTATTATGTGATAAATATATATCCTCTCTGCACCCCTGGAATATGTCATGACAAAGTCAAAGGCTCTTTATGCAACACCTAACAGACAAGATGATACTAGTAAACTAGTCTGAGGTCTTGGATGAAGATCAAAGGGAATCGTGCAGCAATGTAGCAGTAACTTTGACAGGTTTTGAAGTTGAGTGTAGCTTCTCTTTAATTTTCAAAGGACTGGTATCAGCCTAGCGTCCGGTCAGGTTTACGTAACCAAAATCAGTCAAACAACTAATAGCTTCAAATTTGTCACAGCATATATATATAAGGTTGCTGATGTAAGATGTAAATATCAAGGGCAAAACCCTTGCATTTTGATGATGTCACAACTCGAGTACACTCGAGTAGAGTTAGAGGCACAGTAGTCTAGTGGTAGAACGCCAGGCACGTGACCAAAGGGTTGCAGGTTCCAGTCACATCACAGCACTGTGTTGTATCTTTGAGCAAGATATACTTTACTCCGCTTGTTCCAGTCTACTCAGCTGTAAATGAGTATGTGATTGGCCAGTGCTAGAACTGTTGAAAGCTAGCTGTGAGCGCAGAAATGGCAGCACCGGCTGTATGCTCCCCAGGGATTTGAGAAAGATATTGGCTGGTTGCAAACGCCCTATAACCATTAATAATAATTTGTGAACTGCTCTGAGACGACATACAAATTAACTAGGTTGTGATAAAGCGGTATATATGAACCTCAAATTATTATCATCATTATTAAGTAGGTGAATTTGTCACAGCATACAGGGTTAGCTAATATGCGTGATATAAATATCAACAGCAAAACCCTTGCATTTTGATGTATCACGACTCCAGTACACTCAAGTAGGTTTTTATTTTTAAGTTCATGATGTTGTATAATAATTCATAGTTAGCGTATGTATGTAGGTGGAGATTCCTAAGAATAGGTTTCTTATAATTAGTTATATCTGAACCCAAAATATGTGTGTTTCTGTTAGAATCTCAAACCAGTGGGAGAACATATTACTAGGATACATATAATTGTAATCTTTATGTTGTTTGAAGCTGGTAGCTGGATTTAAGGAAGGAAAAGGTTCCGAGTCCTCTCAGCGCTTACTACAGGAATATACACAACTCAACCGTGACCGCAGTGTTAAGGGTCAACGAACTGATGCACACCACAGCTTTGATGCACACCACAGCTTTGATGCACACCACAAACGTTACCGCAATGAAAAGAGCAAAAAATGGGAAGGAGTAAGCCAAATAAAAGACTCCGATAAATCAGGAAGAACGTCCCCTGAAGGTGGCAATGAGATTGAAGACGGAGTGGTTCCGACAAATAACGAGAAGGGAACTGTAGAACTAACAGATGGGGAGTTGAAGGCGAGGGCAATGGGTAAAATGCCAGTTGAACATATTCAATCCCATTTCTTTCATGCTGACACACCTGAAACTGATGGTTGTGGTGTAGAGGAAGGCAATGTCAAGCCACACAATAGTCACCTTAGTAACGTGGTGTCATCCAACTTTTCCTCCTCAGAGACACATGGTGGTGGAGGGCGAAATGAAGATTGTCACCCTATACCTGATACTGGTGATCCGCTGGATGACAGCAGCCTCAGTAGTGATGTCGATCTTCATGGCGATGGAAACAGAGAAGATAGTTACGATGCAGACGACGATTCAGATTTCAATTGTGACGAGGGTTTTACTAATAGTTACCCTGGTGTGCGTACCATACCTGAAGGCTCCCATGCCGATTCGAGAGGAGGGGGAGCTATGGGTGCTTCAGGGGAAGAACCATCAACGACTGATAGATACAAGGCATTTTTAAAATCCTGGAAAATAAACCTTGGAGACAACGGTGAAAAATGCCTGTGCTCTGCTTTACAAGGTAATTGATATACATTTATGTATTAGTAATAGTTTAACAGTCTAGCTAGCTGGTTTATCATGCTTTAGTTCAGTTGCTTATCGCTGCTTTAGTTTCTAGATTTTTTTTAAAATCAATGGGGGATTAAGTAAGATGTTAATCTGTCATTTCTATATAGTTAGTAGTTACAATATGGTTGGTTATTTCTATATAGTTAGTTACAATATAGTTGTTTATTTCTATACAGTTATTTACAATATGGTTGGTCATTTCTATATAGTTAGTTACAATATGGTTGTTTATTTCTATATAGTTAGAGACAAAATGGTTGGTTATTTCTATATGGTTAGTTACAATATGGTTGGTTATTTCTATATGGTTAGTTACAATATGGTTGGTTATTTCTATATAGCTATAGTTACAATATGGT